AATATATAATGAAGGGACATATGCTATTGGAATGAGGATATTTAACCATCTTCCTATAAATATAAAATCATTATCATATAAAATTGAATTGTTTAAACCAGCATTAAAGAGATATCTTTGCTCATGGTCATTTTATTCATTAGATGAGTTTTTTAATCAAAATAATTTGTAAATACTGATTGGATGTAAATGGGATTAACTGTATGTTATATTTTTTAATTTTAATTATATTTATTACTTAGTATTATGTGATATTGTTTTATGATTAATGTTTAATGATTGTGACGAATGAACCTGGAGTAGTAAGAAGTAAAAGGTTGTATTTCTAACAGTGTATGAATCTGCGTTGTTATGATATGGCTTGATTTAATGTTACACCATGTATCTTTTTATGTTTTGTACGAGATTGTATAAGTTTGACTAGCTCTATATCCAATGGGTGCTAAAGCCCCTGTACAGGATTTGTGGAGTTATTTAATAACAATAAACAATAAAGTTGGGAAAACTGATTCGTACCACTGAAACTTCCAAGTTATTGCTTTGTAGTCAACAAAGAAAGACAAATATACAACCCTGTTCCAATGATTCCTCCCACGCTTCTTTCGCGGAATAAATAACAAAACTTAAAATTCTATTTTTACACTGAAATATATTGAAATTCCCCTTCAACCGTTCACACATGACATAAATTTACATTAAACATCGAACGATAGTCACCGCCGTCACCATCATAGGAGAAGAAACGAACGTCCTTTATGTGCGTTTATGCGTTCCCGCCCGTCTTGCTCACAGCTGACAACTTCTCGGTTGCCACCATGGCCTGGAAATACTGCGCGTTAAATTTAAGAAAAAATTAACAGAAATAACATATACTCTGTGCTTGCTTCCATGTTAGCTTATTGCAGTTGAGTTTCTTTTCTTTTTTGAGTTCCTTCGCTATTAGGCAGCCAGATATTGTTTCAATGATAACGATATGAATTATGTTCGATTATGTTGGCAATGGTTCGGCTAAACTCGTGGAGTGTGGAGCCCGTGAAACTGTACGTAGACTCTTCATCGCTATTCAGCGTCAGTTCGTTGAATCAACGGAGGAATAGAGTTTTTCGTGTGATGGATCCAAGCTCCAAGACTGGCACTACTCGTACTAAACAGCATGGGGCACTGTAACAGGCTTAATAGTATCTGCTGCCAGAACCCAATATACCACGTCATTTTATGTTGACATAAGGTATGCAATGACGGAGGCGAAAATCGGAATAGTGGAACCAGTCGAGGTGGTCGTTGCTAGGCAATGGAACAATATACACGTATCCGCAGCATCATGTACTGACGCAACAATAAGGGACGCAGTTTTTTCTGTGCGACTGTTTATGGCAAAGATACTGTAGACACGTTTCCACAGCACCGACTCAGCACGCAACAATACAGGAGTGGTTGGAAGAAGTGTTTCCTGTGTGTCCGTGCCGAGGCTATATACTAAGACCTAGCGACCAGCTGCAAGTGATAGGTGGCAGTTGATGGTTGGCCTTGAGGCATTTCCATTATTAGCAGCCAAGAACTGTAGTACAGAGAATTTTAGAAATATTTCCTGTTGAAGAAGAAACCATGGTGAGTATTTTGTGCTTGTTTGGACGAGAATAACTATATTTGTCTTCATCCATAGATTTTCAAGCCCAGAGAAACCAAGTTTTCTAACAAGATTGTGTTACTTTTCATAATCTAGGAGGTCACTTTTTAATGGATGGCTGTAGGTATTGTAGCAGTTTGTAATATTGTATATCAGAATGATAAATTCAACAAAGATGATGAGGGCAAGTCATGTAGCATGGATGTGAGAATGAGAAATCCATAGAAAGATCCAGACAGTAAACCTGAATTAATGAGACCACTTTGGAGACCTATGCATGAAGGGTAGGGTAGTATTAATGTATTAATCATTTCCATGCCATACATGGCATCTTGTACCCTTGTTAAAATTGCCAGAGCTGAGGAGATTGGCTCAATGTTAATCACATAGTAGATCATCTCTCTCAACAGATGCGCATTGCCTAGACTTATTTTATATATACATTTATTTTTTCAGAATTAAAAGATACATTTCTGGTCATTAGAGGAATCTACAGAAGTATTGAGGGTTTCTGTGTTCAACCACATTTACCCCCCACCCCCAACAGTCTGGAGATATCAAATGGTTTTATAGTAGGACTAGGTAGTCAGTTAAAACACAATCTTCACCTACCAAGCACAAACACCACAGCCAGTAAACATGTCTCAGTGATAATATGGTTGCATTTGTTGTTTTACAGAACCGTACAGATTTAGAGAAAGTACAAGGTCTGTGTACTGAGATGTGCCCAGCATCTTCTCAAGGTGCATATCAAGCTGTCAATATAAAAGCTGAGGTACTGTCAGATGTAGAAGAGGAAGATCCTCTCGCAATACCATTTCCAGAAATAAAGACTGAACCTGAGGTGAGTTGTGTTTCAGGTTCCATGTTAGGTGGATTTCACAAATATAGATACTCCTTGTTTTACTAACTTGTTACAGTGAACAGCTTAGATTCATAAGAAGTTTTATTTGCTGAGGCAGATAAGTACATACACAGTGCGGGGCAGGTGGGGAGGAGCAGGCATTGCCACATGCCTGTGACTCTTATAATCTTTCAGAATCAGCTGTGCCCTTGATGCTTACATTTTATTGATAAATATCTGTGTTAGTTGTGTCCATCATGGCTCCCTGACATGAGAAAGTAGCTGTGAAAGGTGTATATAAACCGAAGAAAGTAAGGGAAGCAATTGGTGTGCCTATAAAGCTGGAAATAATGAAAGGGATTGAAGGAGGACAGTGATATAAAGACATATGTACAGCTGTTTTGTTTCATTGCATCAGCTGGGAGAAAAGAAATGTGATTAAAATAATAAGATTTATTTTCAGCACTAAATATCCAAAATGAACAATGGAGTCCTCATTTTTATGCTTATTTACTGCTATAGCAAATGGGGAAAAAATTTGTGGGGAGGCTTCTCAGTGACTCATGAATGAGCTGGCGACTTTTTCATGTAAGGTAATGGGAATATCAATTTTGTATTATGAAATATCACTTTATTCACAGTTTTCATGCCATGAATTGCCTTTTTTAAACAAGGGATACCTTCATGTAGAATTGACAGTTTTCTTTCTGATCTCCATCCGTCTGTGCACATGAAAGAACTCAGTATGGTCACTGGCTTTTAAAGAGCATTTTCTGATATGTCTTAAGATGATTGTTATGTGTTGAATGTTGCATGTGGTGTACCATTTCCATTTTCTCTTAAGGAAATCTGATATACTTGAAATTAAGTATTGTGTAAACTGAATAATCAGAGAAATTCTATATCAGCAATAATCTTGTACAATGTTCTTGTTTATCCAGTCGAATAAAATTTGCTTTGATACCACATCATAGGGTTCCCAGGATATGTAAATGTTTAAAGTTGTGATTTATTTGTTTTCTGACTTTGATACAATCTGTAGCCATATACTAAGAAAGAGTCGTCATTAAGCTGTGGACCTGTAACGAGTTTTTTTTACATTCCCTACAGTACGGACAATACTTTGTGAGATGAGGCACTGACTAATATTATAATTTACTTTACTACATCTACATTATGAGCCTCATACACAATTTTATATACGCATAAGTATGAATATTCCAACTTGTCCGTCAGAATGAAACAAAAAAGAAATCACAAACCAACGACTGACACGTTGATGTAAAAACACCAAAAGAATTTTATTCCTATTTTATATCATACTTCTTTTCTATGTAACTTTATTTATTGTATTTTTTACATCAAGTGTTTTTATATATTTTAATAATGTTGTATCCAATCTTGTTGGTGCTGCCGTTCAGTGGTGTGTGTATGTGTGTAAATCATGTGTTTGCCTGATGATGGCTATCAATAGCTGAAACATGTAGCAGGGCCAAAAATGGTCTGATCTTGATATTAGTTGTGTTGTGACGGATATAATAAAGAGGTTGTATATTGTAACACAACAGTATGCATGAAATGAAAATTATATTTATTATGCCTGACACTTGGGGGCGGGGGCGGGGTTGCGTCTGTTCCTGCTGTTAGGTGACTGTCATTGTGCTGACAGATTTTGTGTTATTTTTTTATGTTGAGGTTAGTGGCATGAGTTGAAATGCAACATTGGTCCTTCCAGTAATCTATACACTTCATCCCACAGCTGAAGACCATGGTAGTCACTAGCAGAAGGAAGAGATTTGTCAGGCTTTCACAACAATAACAGGTTAGGTCGGGATATGTGTGACACAGAGCACAGTTCATTACTTTGCAAGCAATAAATCTGAAACCCTCAGAAGGATTCAGACCATTGCAATGGTTTATGCTGCACAGGCAAAGTGTCCTCCAGACTTGCCCAGTACAGAAGAGACAATGATTTTAGTGAAAGCTGAGTTGCCAGATGATGGTCACATTGAAAGTTATGTACAATGATTTTACTGCCCACACCTCTTTGCTTCCTTATTATGAAATACGTGACTTTAAGATTAACTCTTCTTCCCCAGATGTAAATAAGTTTGATCAGCTTGTCATAACATAGTCTTCTCAGTCAGTCCCTTAACCGTGTTAAATTATATAGCAGTGCAACTTCAGGATGACTGTTAGTAACGGAGAGAATGTTGAGTGTTTTAGGTGAGTGAAAAGAGTTTCTTACCAGTACAGGGATGGAAGCACTATCTCTAGTCATAGATTGTATATTTTCCTGGATTATAAATATGTTAGTGACACTGTAGTTTCAGATGGTGGAAGTGAAAAATATGTGAATTTCTATTCCCTGTGTGAAACTGGTGAGTGATGATAATGAAACAATATGAGTTGTGTTAAGTCAGGTACACACTAGCGAGCTGTTGCATGTAACATAACGGTTACTGTAACCACATTCTTTTAGTGTGGACGCCTTCTGAACCACGCTCGCGAACATACTTCGAGCACGCTCTCTAACACGACCGGTGAGCCACTGCCTTGTCGGTTTTTGCTGCAAACACAAAGGGACTCGCAGTAGGCTCATGGACGCCACAATCGCTTGCTCGTAAATGTGTATGTTTCCTCCGAGCCAGGAGTAGCATTGTGAATTGCTATGTCTTCATGGCTAGCTCACCACGAGCACTATGGATCGGGTCGCTTGAAGCTGGTTACATGACGACTATGGACGTGTCGTCCATATGAAGACGTGGTTACAGTAACCGTTACGTTACATGCAACAGCTCGTTAGTCTGTACCCAGCCTTAGGGAATGAGAGTTTGAATGGGAAGGCATGTATCATGATAAGGGGTAGAGGGACTATCCACTGTTGTGTTTTAGTTGCAGAATGTAACAAAGGGCACAGCTTATTTGAGGTTTAGATAACATGTCAGTGAAGATTTTTTCTAGAAATACGCTACCCAATGCCAGAGATTTATTGAGAATAATTCATTAAGCTGAAGGGCCCTGTGTTTGAAGCAATACTTTGGAACCCAAAGATTCATATGGTAGTGTGGGTTTGTGTGTTATGTCAGTTTTTTTACCTGAATTGAGTTTGCCGAAGATGGGACCTGTGCCCAAGGGTGATTCATATAGAACCGGCCCGACGAAATGAGGTGTAATATAAAATATACCATACAGATATTAAAGTGATTTACACATATCTTATCTTGGATTGTGTGCTGTGATCAGAGCAGGTGTTGAAAGTGTCCACCGTTTTCAAGTAGGCATTAGAAACACTCGCTGTTCAACAGTGTACTCCATGACTGTCACCTGTGCACTGCAGACACATTTCGGCATTGTCCTTGACCTTTCAGCATAAGGGCTGCCACTTGCCAGATCATGAGCACAGCATTCGACTCAGCACGGCCCACAGATTATTATGTCATAATTGTGAGCGGTTATATGCATCACCTGCAGAATTATTAGCAAATTCATCGGGCTGGTTCTATACGATTCACCCTGTATGACACTTTGTATGCTGATGAGCTGTCTGATCACAGGTTTACTGGTTGTATCTTTTGTCTATAGAGATCAGGTTTTCTTCTACAGTTGCTATAATACTCACAGCCTTTACACGGCCATCCTCTGTGATATACAGAAATGTTTCATGTAACATCAGCTGTTTCATTATGATCTTCTTGTACAGAAACTGTCATAGCTTTGCAGAGTTTCCATGGGCACCCATGAGATTCAATTCAATTCAATTTATTTCAAATTCAAAAATAGATCCAGATACAGGCTGGGAAACAACCATTGGATATAGAATGAGTCACAGATCATCTGGTTGTTATCGATTTGTTGCATTAAGTGTCCCATGTCCATAGGGCAGGGAAATAAGTTGCCTTTTGCTAGGTATCTGACCCTGTGGGCATGCTCAGCAGTGAGACTTCAGTGCAGCAAGCAGCTGCATGACTGAATGACTAGCAACACTGCTTGTGTAACTGAACAGGGGCTTGCTTTGAGAAAGTGTTATGATTGGACCAGTGAAAACAAATCAGTTTTGTAGAATCTGTTGTGAAATATGGACCTACTAAGTTGAATTGACTCTATTGATGAGTCCCTAATAGCCAGAACAGACAAACATGGCTGTACATGTGTGGTAGCTGATCCCACTAGCAGACAAGCACATGATACAAGGGAAGCGGTGAACTGTCAGCCTTGGAACTGATAATTCCAGACCATTTAAGAAATGTTGGCAGTCCATACAAATGACAGACAAAGCATGAGGCTGCCAGTCAGAGCCAGTATTTAAATATGGCTTAGGCCAGTGGTAAAGTGATAGATTTAGAGGATTCAAATCAGCACATTTTAAGTGTTATTAGTGTTCAGTTTTTGTGAAGTGCTGTTAGTGTTAAACCTGTATAGTGCTCTGTACATGAATTGGAACTGGTGCTTGTGCAGTAAATTTATAGATAGTTCTGAGTGTGAAAATAACAGCAAGAAACAGAGAGACTGTGGTTTTAGTCCGCAGGAGAGCTATACCGACCGAGTGGCTGTCGCTAGTCGGCGGAGTTAGTGCAAACTTTAGCAGATAGCAGAACTGCGGAGCGGAGCCACTATATCCTTGAAATAGCTCCTCAATTATCCTCACAAGGCTGAGTGGACCCCATTCCAGACCCGCTACTTCTGAGAAAATGTTGTAGTGCCGGGAATCAAAACCAGACCTCAGGATCTGTAGCCAGGAACCCTGGCCACTAAAGCACAGAGGTGGTGAAAGAGAAAGACAGGAATTTCAAATTGAATGGACAAAGTCTGATGTATTCATATGAGATTCAGTGGATTCCTGCTGTTTCTGATTTGCAGTGAGAAATTGTCCAGCAAAAAAATAATAGAAACTAACCAGTTGGAGGCATGAAGATAGAGCAGTAGTGGATCTGCAGAGAAAAGCACAAAAAATGAGATCTACATTTGACAGTTGGATAAAATCATCATGCAATACCACT